ATTTTCTATCCTGTGCTCACCAAAAACCAGTGCCGTATGGATGTTGTGCACAGGGACCTGGTCTTGTTCAGTATCCTACCACAACTGCCTCAAGTTATTATTGATTAATGTTTTTGTATTGAGTTTTTTTCTTGCAACATTTTGCGCATCCTTACATGGGATTAAAAGCACAGTATTTCAAAATATCAAAAATAATACAACATATTACATCCTCTGGAAAAAACATATACACGCCAAAAGATAAACATCAATCATAACATACACATCTATGCATTTTAGATCAAATATTTCACCACAATCCAAATAAATTGTGCAGCAAATAGTATGAGAAATAAGGTGACTGCGTTACACTCCATTTTTATCCCTGAGAAAATACTTTTTTACTAATTCATGTAGGTGCAAGGCTACCAAAATAAAGCAATTCAATCCTGTCTGGTTTCATCACATTTTATTGTTTGGAGTCCGTGTCTAAGTTCCAATTCAATCAATTTTATTTGTATAGGTCCATTCAGTAAACAGAAAGTTATCATCAGGACACTTTTCAAATAGAGCAGGTCTAGACCGAACTCCTTATAAACAATTACAGAAGACCAACAGTACCACCATGTAGCAACACTTGGCGACAAGGGCAAGGAAAAACTGCCTGTTAGAAAATGTATCTGTGGGCAGGCAGAAACTGTGAGCCACGTTTTAATGAAATGTGCCAATTATCAAACAGACAGAATCTTAATGCAAGATGATCTGGCAGAAATTTGAGTTACAGATAATTCCTTGAAGTCAATACTCAAAGGAATATCTTATTTTATCTTATTTTATCTTAGATTATGGTGGAATAACAAAAAAAACTGTAATAACTGTAGTTCTACAAGTGACCTGTGGGGGGCAATTAACCTATTTGTCCAGAAGGGGACGCCACCTGATCTCCGTGTAACTCAGTCCAGGTCCTCACTGCTGAACACAAGCTGTCCGTGGGAGTAGAGACAGTAGAGGTGTGTTTGTGTGTGTAACTCACCGGTGACAACCAGGGAGTGACCCCCGCCGCCGCACAGAGCCCGTACGGCGCCGCTGTGGAGGGCAGCGGGGTCGGAGAGCCGGGGGTCGGACTGGTCCTCCACATGCCCCTGTCCCAGCTGCCCGTAGCTGTTCGCTCCCTGACAGACACGATATCAATCACCAATACTGCACACATCGATACACATGTTACTGCCGAGGTTAGCTCCGTTAACAGACTCGTCCAAAGGTTGTTTATTGTTGTTGTTGTTTCCGTTGAGCTAACGTTAGCAGAAGTGCTCCGTTAACAAATATAACAACCTGCTGTCAGTGCGATAATGTAACTACACGACAGACTTACACGGTTTAAACACTTTATCGATGAAGATTATAAACTTACCCAAGTATGTAAACAAAACTCCGACCGCGAGCTCGTTTCCATGGAGTACTTAACGTTAGTGGAGCAGGAGTTTACGACACTGTCGTAAATCACAGTACACGGGTCAAAGGTGCGGCTGCAGTTGGATTTAAGTTACTTGTGTAGGAAATTTATATATTTCTTTAAAACTGTCCGGTAAAATAAGACCAAATCTCACATGGTTATAGTCGGGCTCATCGTGAACAGGATTCAGTTGGTATTTACAGCAAACTTATTCAAGAAAACGAAATGTAACCATTCAAATATGAGGAATTTATGATTGTTACAATCTAATTTGAGCTGAGTTTACCTTTAAATTTCTCCAAAACCGTGCAGTGAAATAAATCCACATTGTTATAGTCTGGGTTATTCCATTTGAAACTTTAAATGGAATAATTTAAATCTAATCTACTCAAGAAAATAAAATACAACCACTGAAATGTTTGAAATTTGTGATTGTTATAATATATTTATAATATATTATATGTTTAATATTATCTACATATACAGTAGTTGGTGGTTATGTACACTACATACAGTCTGTTCGGATATACAGTGCTGTGTAAAATGTACAGTTTGTATTTATTTTCAATAATATTAATTATTATTAGTAGTAGTAGTATATTAGTATTATTATATTAGTAATTATTTTCATAAAGGAACACAGACTTTTATGAGAATCTGAACTTTATAACCTTTATGATTGTAGGATTTATTTAGGGTGCATAGGTTTAACTACGTGTAACAGTTACCAATAAGTATGTAACTGGGTAAATTAATTAACCTTATATCACTAACTTAGCTACTTCGTTTTTTTGTGTTAATTTGCTCAGGTAAAACTCTGGAGGTGGGACATAGAGGACCCTTGATTGCAGATTTTCTATCTTTCAGCCATGATTTCAAGTAGAACTCTTTGGGATGTTATATATCTTAAATAAAAACAATTCATTATCCAAGAAACCACAAAATGTCACCAATAATCTGGTTGTTCATGTCAGTTCTTTCACAATTCATTTCATACTGGATTTTTCTCATTAGACAATGATGTGGCCCTCAGGTCAAAGGAATATGAATTTTTATAATATGTAATTGAAATTACACAAACTTTGTTATTATCATCACTTTTAGGGTTCCCGCTGTCATCATCCTGCATCTCCATGATCGTCATCAGCATCTTCCTTTGTATTCTGTAACAATAACCAAATCACCACCACGAGGACATCGAAATGTAATAAGTCAACAGGTAACAAACCATTTGACACACTGTGAAGACACAATGAATATTTTATTTTTTATTTTTTTCAATAGTTTGATACATAGCCTACTCATAATATCTATATTTCTTTACAGTAGAAAAATAATGTTTTGATTTAAGGAGTACTACAATTATATTCACTTCAAGAGGAGGTATTCAAAATCAGCACTGTAAAATAAAATAGGTCAAGGTACAGGGTCCCTCAACAGCAGACAAAAAGGAACATAATACACACACCAAAAGAATACAAACAAGGTACATTTTATACATATCACTGAAGTGAGGAAGATTAAATGTGAAGAAGAATGGAATGAAATACAAAAAAAAATTCACATGATAATAATACAACAGCAGAGTTAACAATAGGATTAGGAAACCACATCTGTGTTTGTAACAGCTGGGAATGGTTTAAAAGGGTACTAAAGTACCATGAAAGCGCATTGATTGTTTGCAATATAAAAAGCCAATTAAGCGAAGTACAGCTGAAGCAAAACAACATCTCAGCAGCTCTTTTGGTTTGTGCAATTTACTGATATCAGTAGCTAAACACACCTAACGTGCCTCTGTAAATCGTATAAGCCACATACCATACAGTGGGGACAGAGCGGGGTTTTATTTTTTCCAAAAGCAGTGCACATTCATTGTACTGACAAAGGGTGATACACAAGCAGTATCTCTACAGCGGAGCTCGGGGGTGACACGGCAAGCATTGATGGACTGTAGGTGGACAACTTCAACTGGGAATGTGGGCAGTCAGACACCCAGCTGCTTGTTCAGCCGGCTGAGGGCGTCACCGACGATGTCAAGCTCGTGTCGCAGCTCCTCCACCACACTGTTGATGCTGGGAGTGTCTTTTAGCACGTCCACACTCTGGGTGTAAGGGTTGTATCGTACTGTGAAGGGACGCTTGATGGTCTTGGCAAACTCCCTGAAATGAACATAATACCGTAATTGAATATTATGTTAGTAGAAGATAAAACAACAGGGTAGTTTGTAGATTCATCTATCCGTGTAAGATCTATCTTACTGTCACCAAGCTCACCTCATCTTGACTTTGGCCTCCTCAAAGCTGTCTGACACAAAGTAGACATCCTGAAATGTTGTGATGATGCATTCTTGTTTGGATGTAACTTTGGGGTCAAAAGGCATTATCCTTGCATTGCCAGAGAGTGCATGCTGTAAGAGAGAAACAACAACGTACTGTATGTAAACACCAGGACACATGGGGGGTTATTTGATTAAACATCAGTCTGTATGTTGCTGGGTTTTTTTACCTTGAGCTCGCTGATAGATGACAGCAGTCCTGCTCCGTATGCTCGCAGCTGCCCTTCTTGTTTGCATAGGCCGAACTCCACCGTAAAGAAATAGCACTGAAACACAGACACAGAAACAATTAGAACAACTATCCTAGTTTTTAAATTTGAGAATATCTTTGTTGAATTTCATTTGGTTTTAAAAAAAAATACTCACTGTAGCCAGTTTCTGAACGGAGTCATCCGAAGCTCCAAGCGAAGCGAGACCAATCTCCTGAGAAAACTGGGCAAAGCTGGGCTCTGCCAGCAGTGGGACGTGACCCAGTAGCTCATGGCACGTGTCCCTTGATAGCGATACATAACAAAATATTAGGACCAATAGCTTTGTGTGAACATTGACATATTTTGTAAATATAGTACGGCATATCACTCACGGCTCTGGGGTGTATAAGGGGTCGGAGCTGTGCCGCACATACTGGGTGCAGTGGAAAACACGGAAGGCCAAACCAGCGAGGAAGTCACGAGGGGACAGATAACCAGCCACAGGCCTGATGGTGAATCCAGTGCGTTCTGAGAAGATAAGAAACACAGTTCATACTAAGCTGGTTTCTTTTTCCCAGTTTTGTATTTGAAGCAAAGAAGCGTTTATTCAAACCTACCCCTGAGGAAGCGTGAGACATCTTCCAGCTGAGGGATGTTGTCCTCCCGAAATTCACAGTATTTGGACAGCAGTGGTAGGTTCTTCAAGTATTCCCGGCAGGCGTGGGTGGGGTACAACTTGTTGAGCTCCCTGTACACAACTCCCCAAGTCTTCACCTCCTCCTCTGTGAACTCAATACGAGGAATGGGATCCCCACTGCAACAAGAGAGAATAAATCTCTAAGTATCAAGTAAAAAGTTAACAAGAAAAAAATAAATGAAAAAAGAAAATATCCACTAAAATATAAAAGAACTCACTGTTTGTAGGCCATGGCAAGATCAGCAAAGTACTTTCGCCTCTTCCGGTAGACGTTGTCCTTGAATCCCTGATGAAGAGGAATATAGATGCATATGAGAATAATTCAGAATAATTAAGTTTTTTGCATTTTTTAAGTCAACAAGTCTGATTTTGGGTCTACGTACCGGATGATCAGCATCCAGCTCAGAACCATACATCAGGACACGGTTAGCGCACTTGTCCAAATCTGAAATCTTTTTTGGGAACCACGGTACATCATACATATCTGAGAAGAGAAAATGAGTTTCATTAGTTTTTACAGCAGTTATTAAATATAACATATCCAACTTCTTTGTAATACAGAATCTGCAGGATTTCGCTTACCTTCCTCGTGTAGACAGGAGTTATCTGGAGGCTCCATATCCACCACGTTCACATGCTTTCGAAGCAGCTGGATGATTTCATTCAGTTGTTCGTGGTTGCTGTCGCAGTCCACAAAAATCTCAAACTCAGAGTTGCGTCTTTTGGATTTCCTGGACTCTATGTGTACAAGGTTGACGTGGTTTTCCTGCAAGAAACACACACAAGAAAAAGTTTCTTTATCATTAGTATGATAAATTACTTAGTTACTGGTAGACACACAATGGATATATGATATAAAACTGTGAGTAGAACCATGAGTATGATAACTTTGTCCGTACTTGAAAGAGTCTGAGCGCCTTCACCAGTCCTCCCACTTCATTTTTTAGGGAAAAGATGATTGTGGCTCTCCCTTTCTCTGATGAATTCTTCTTTTCAGTGTTTTCTTCAATTTTTGTGAAGGTTGATTTGTTTATCTGAAACCAATAATAACAGACTTTAAAGATTTTAATTTGTGTAACATTAAGAAATCGTCACCAACAACCAATAGTGGCTCACCTCTGATGGTCATGTGAGGAGATATTCAAATCTTATAACGTATACATAATTTTAATTTAATTTTTCACCATAGTTGAATTAAATTTACTAATTTCAAACAGAAATAAACTAATTTTAGAAACGTGGCACCTAAATTAATAGTTATGTGACAACAGCACCTCCAAGTTTTGTGCTACATAGTTTCAGTGACCCTTCAACATGCAGAGTTAGATTTAAACAACTAGTGATATATGCCTAATTTAGTTTATACCAGGTATTTTAAAATCCTGTGAACATCTAATAAACATGCAAACACTGGTAGTGAGAGTCTCAGAGAACTGTTGTTTGTTCACACTACTTCTGATCAAAACAAGTCATATGAACGCAGATGAATTAGTCATAATACATGTGGAGACAGGGTTACAGATTAGTGCCCACAGCGGGAGGCTAACCAATCCGTCTCGTCCACTTCAGCACCTCGGACAGCGACTGCACACGCACCTGATTTTAGAAGTAGGACTGAAACGTGCCAACAGCACAGGACAACTAATCCGCCTGGATTGAGTGCAACGTTTCCCCCTCCTCAGTTTAGTTGTAGCATACATCTGATTTAGACACCATATTTTACTCCTGCGCAACTACACCAAGCTATAATTTCCTTTTCTAAATACAATAATGGATCAAACTGGGTTGTGGAAGGGGAGTAAAGAGCTCATCACAAGAATCAGTT